TTACCCCGTGTGATTTTTTGTCAGTGGCTTATTAATATGATTGGCCAAGCACCACAGTTCTTAGGTAATATTTTATTTACTGACGAGGCGAGTTTCTCAAGAGACTGTATTAAGAAATTTTCACAACAATCACCTTTGGGCTGACGAAAATCCTCATGGCTTTTTTAAAGGAAATCATCAGTATCAATTTTCATTAAACGTATGGCTCGGAATTATTGATAATCATTTAATTGGTCCCCATTTTCTTCCGCTACGATTAAATGGTGAATCATATTGTCATCTCCTTGAAGAATTACCTGTTCTTCTTGAAGAGGTTCCCATTCAAATTAGGCAACATTTATGGTTTATGCACGATGGTGCACCAGCTCATTTTAGTATACGTGCAAGAACTCACCTGGATGAGGTGTATGCCAATCAATGGATAGGTCGAGGAGGACCTGTAAACTGGCCAGCCCGCTCCCCTGACCTTAATCCTTTGGATTTTTGCATATGGGGATATCTGAAATCTTTGATATATACAAAACCAGTTGAAAATACCGATGATCTGCGAAACCGCATTGTAGCAGGGTGTGAAACTATAAGAAATTTTTCAGGAATATTTCATCGTATACGCAATTCTATGAGGAAAAGGGTAGATGCTTGTATTGAAGCTGAAGGAGGTCATTTCCAACATTTATTATAATTGTATTGTCGATATTCGACAGGTTTTTGTTCATTGTTTGTTCACTTTTGTTTTTAGTTGTAGAAGTCTTAAGAATCATAATTTGGTTGGCTGTTGTTTAATAAAATGCTATTTTACATGAGCTTATTTATTTTTTTCTCATAAGTGCTTAAGTTTTCGAAAAGTTAGTTAATGAATTGGGCTTTTCAGTCATACTTTTTGAAAAAAAAAAATTTCATCTAAAAAAAAGTTGTAAGAAAAAATATCTTAGGGGTTGATTATTTCAACCCCTTCTAAGCATACTTCAGCGTTGAAAAAAATTCAAAAAGTGTACTTTTATTGACAGATAATGTTTACCAAGTTTCGTGTCTTTAGCTTGATATACAGGGAAAATAAAAAAGAAAAACCATTTTTTTTTTTTAATTTTCGAAGGGGTGTAACTTTTCCGGGGAGGGTTTTTTTCTAAAAATTTTATACCAAACACTCACATTAATTTTCATCACAGAATCACCCCTTTAATTTTTTCGGTGTTATTTAGATACACCCTGTATAAATACTATTTTCTCATTTAAATTGGTCTTGTACCAATATGGTTATTGTATCAATTTTACTAGCTAATAAATCTTGATTCTGTTTTATTGTTCGAACTGTTTTATTGAATTTGCCTATTAGCGATGTTGGAATTTTTTATTACGTTTCCTAAATTTTACTAGGGATGATTTAAACTAACTGAAAAAGGTTCATAGAGGGTAGATTTCTCAAAATATAAATAATATTTTACTCCTGAGCAATGTACTCCTTAATAAAGTGAATAATATCTTGCTCGGTATTGTTTTGTGAAATTTGTATATAAAATCTTTGCTTATTACCAAAAATAATTTTTATTTTTGGTTTCGCAGGTCAATGAAGGACTGAGTCTATTATTATAAGGTTTTTTTCCATAATTTACTGCATAGTCTACTATAGGGATTCCGATAACAGGGTTATCATCAGAATTGGAATGTACAGTATGATCATCATCTGATATAATTGTATTTTGAGTTTCGGAAGGTTCATTGTCTTTTGGTATGTCTATGTTCACTATTGTAATTTCGTCTAAATTTACGATCATGGATATGTCGTCTATTTCTCTATTAAATATACAGGGTGTCCCGAAATTAGACAGCGTAATCTACATTCTAAAATAGGAGTAAAAGCTCATATAAACATAGGTCCGAAAACGTTTCGTTTTCGAGATACAAGGTGTTACAAGTGAAGTCCTGATGGCACATTTTTGTAAATATTTTCTAAAATTTCTTTAGTCGCCGATTTTCCAAAGTTAAATAAAAATAAAATTTCTGATTCCACAGGCCTACTAATTTATTGTTTGCACTTTCGAATAACTTATTATAAAATTTTCAAATGATTTTCTCTTGAAAATAGTGCGTCCTAGCGAGATGCAACAAATGTAGCTTTATTATGAAGAAAATATTGGTTTTTCAAAATTTATAGTCAAAAATGTTAAAAACTGTCAACAAAAAAAACTTGTACCAAATTTCCCTTAGTTATCTTTAAACATTTAGAAAATATTTACAAAGGTGTGTCATCAGGACTTCACTTTCAACACCCTGTATCTTGGAAGAGAAACTTTTTCAGACCTATGTTTACATGAACTTTTATTCCTATTTAAAATGTAAATTAAGCTGTTAAAATATGACTGTCCAATTTCGGGACACCCTGTATTCTCATGTAGTTCAGGAAGTTTTGAAGTAGCTGGGGGTGGTGTATTAAGTTCTGTGTTAGAAGGGTTTTGATCAAATGTAAAGGAAGGATTGTTATAATTTGTTAATTCATTTATTATCTCATCTAAACTATCCCAAAAGGATTTGGTCTCTTTTGTATGAATGTAAAAATTTTCATTTTCTTGTGGTATGTCGAAGTTTTTGTGTAATTTTAAAAATTTTGACAAAATTAGAAATATGTTTTTAAACCTAGTTTTATTTCTGTTAGACTAAAAACAATTTTTGTTATAAATATATTTTCTATTGAAGTTTGAATATTTTTTAAATTTTATTCTCTTTCTGTTACATTTATAAAGTCTTGGCTTTTACTTTCCTATCTGTATAGAGATAAGGAAAGTATGGGAATCATAATTTTTTTTGACCTCTAGTTTTCAACGAATTTTTACGTTTTGCGTTTAATCCTGACAAAAATGTTTTTAATGATAGATTTTGATATAATTCTCGTTTCAAATTGTTTTCTGCGTCTGTTATTTCATGTATGTTAATATAACTACATAATAAATTTAATACATGCAAACATCTATCGTAATAATTTTGTGCCGATTCATTTTGATTTTGTTTTAACATTACAAGATCTCCGTTTAAACTTAATATCTTTGAACAGAGAAATTTTTAGTTAAAGTATTTTTTAAATCGTTCCAATTTGCAAAATTGTAAATATTAACTACTGTTTTGGCATTTTCTCTTAATTTTGAAATAATTGAATTCAATAAATATGTATTTTGTAAGCAAAGATTCACTTACGATAAAAAATCATTAGGATTACCATCGAATTCAGGTATACAATTAAGAAATTCAGGTTCAAAAGCCATATTTAATTCTTGTAAATTATTGGTTCCTTGTAATTTATTTGTTGCTTCTTGTTCTTGTAAATTATTGGTTACTACTTGTAAATTATTTGTTACTTGCAAATTATTTGTTACTTCTTGTAAATTAGTTTCTAATGTTGGAATATTATCTGAATCTGAATCAAGATTAGTTGAAGGTGAATCGATTTTGAATTGCAATAAACGTTTCTCTAATTCGTTAAAAGTAAAATCTGCCATAAATTGTACTTACAATAAAAGAGTAACTATCATTATTTAATAGTTCCAAAAACTTCACTGGATCTGCTATGCTGTCTTCACCAGTCCGTAATTCTTGTAGATTTGGGGGATGTGTCTCCCAAGTCTTGAAGTATTCTAACCCACCTTTACAATTAATCACTAACAGTTTGTAAAATTATTTACTAACAGTTTTTGTTTTATTTTATTGGAAAGTTCGTAATTGGACTAATCGGTAACACGAAAAAATTGATCCTTTCGATACGACTCTATCCCGAATTATCCTACTGACTGCGCCAGAAATGAAATCTGGAACCGAAAATAATTTTTTAAAAACTTTATTTTTACTTAAAATACAATAAATATAGATATTGATGGTTTAAATGCTAACAAGGAACTCACTTTTAACTGAATAAACTACTTTTATATAAACAAACTATTCTAAAATGCTAACTATGCAAAATTGTATCTTTTATATATTCTTCTATAGTATGGGTAATACAACTATTGCAATCTTTCCCATCAAGTGTTTAAAACTGTAAAAAAATATTAGTATGCTCGGTGAATGTCTAAAAATTGCAGTATTTTAAATATTGTCCGTTAGAATAATTTAAAAATTACTTTTGCTCTTGATTCTTCTAGGAAGACTCTTACTAACGACATCAGGCATAGATTAACCAGTTGTTCTCATCAAAATAGTCCTTACTTGAAATAACTTTAAATTCTGGATGAAATATTCTATTTTGGTTTAATTTCTGACACCAAATTAAGGAGGTCCTTTCGCCACACCTCTCGCCTCCAATGTTAAAAAAAAAGTTATTAGATTATGACTAAAATTAATTTTTTTCTAATAGTTGAAGTCCTTATTTATCTAATACTGAACTTTTAACTATACCTTACCTTGCAAATTTTTAAGAATTTTTTTTTAAATGTGAGTATTTGTACAGTGCTTCACGAGAAAGTAAGTCCTCAACAACAATTCTCGAATTATACTATTATTTATTGATTAGATGGAGTAGAAAAAAAACTAAAAATAAGGTTTTTGAAATATTTAGATTTTGTTTTATACAATAAAATATATATAGTAAACCGTGGAACTTATTGAGAAATTAATATTAAAAAATCACAAAAAATTTTCAAGTAACCTAGTTGAAAATTTTTTGTGATTTTTTAATAATAATTTCTCAATAAATTCCACGGTAACCTATATATTTTATTGTAAAAAACAAAACCTAAATATTTCAAAAACCTTATTTTTAGTTTTTTTCTAATCAATAAATAATAGTAAAATTAATTATAATTCGAAAATTGTTGTTGAAGTCTTACTTTCTCATAAGACACTGTACAAACACACACATTTTTAAAAAAAAAATTTCTCAAAAATTTGCACGGTAAGGTATAGTTAAAAGTTCACTATTAGATAAATAAGGACATCTACTATTAGAAAAAAATTAATTTTAGTCATAATCTAATATTTTTTATTTAACATTGGTGGCGAAAGGACCTCCTTAAAAAAAATGATAATCATTTTTTAAATTATTATTTTTACTTATATAAATGGTATTTTATTTGACAAAATTTATTTTGTTTCAGATTAGATGTAACATCAGCAGCAATGTTTCCTCTTCCCCAACTGGACACGTGCTTTTGTCTTGACCATTATAACGAGTGCGTGACCCAGAACCCGTTCCTTGCCCAACGCCTTTTCAACCCTTACTTCCCTCAGCTATGGCTGCCATTTCCCATTAAGATAAACCAACCCCGTCCAGAAAAACCTCCATATTCGTACATAGCTCTCATTGCCATGGCCATTTCCTCGTCGCCAAAGCAAAGGCTTACCCTCAGCGGAATATATAGGTAATTTTTGTTTAAGTCCATGGGCGAGGATAGAGAGGGGTTTACGTATTTTTATTTATTTTTTATTTTTTGAATAAATGCAGGAAATATTTATCATATAATAATTGAGACTAGATTATTTACATAAATTATTAAAAATAACTATAACATCTTGAGTTCTGCTATGAATTAATATATATGGTGATTAAAATAAATACTCTTACATGGATCCTGCGATAGACCGGAATGAGGGGTAATTAAATTTTAGATATTCTCGTATGAACAGAAGCTTAAACACCCTTCAAGGGACCTGAGTCGTTCTGCTGCATTAGTAGTTGTACAATACTAGGAAAGATTAAACAAGAATTGGACAGTAAAATAACCGACACTTGGCGAGGTCTCTTGGGGCTAGGAACCAAAGCCTGTATCTGTTTAAGCATAAGATACGCAATAAACGCAATTTTTTTCATTTTGAATTCTTCAGTAAATTATGTACGCACTGTCATTTGAGAAACAAACTAAGTCTGTTATCTCGCACAGTTTTACTCGACGGTTATCCAATACAATACAGTGAACTACTACATATGGAGAAGCAGCAAATTTTGAACATCAATGATGTTTATCTTTTGTGCTCATACGACCACGCTCAAATCAAACAACCTAAAATTTAACAATTATAAAGGAAGGAGTGGATTCCATAGTGTTGAATTTAGCTCTACATTAATTTTGGTTGCTGTTAAGCCTTTCAAATGAAAGCAATTTATCACTGCCAACTCAGTTTTTTCCATTGTTTAGAAAACGACACCAGACTTTTTCTTTGGGCTACGAATTCACGCCATCTCTGTATTAGGCACGAGTTACCCAACAATACTCGTATTATAGAAATTATTTAGATAAAAGAAATTTGTAACATTAGACATTAAGATTAAGTTTCTATAATCAAACCGTTGTATGAAGATATTATAGCAAGATATTCTTATGGACACTTCATTTGATTGCGGTGGAGACAACATGTAGATGGCACCACTCCCATGGTATCTAAGTCAGGTCTTTAGACCATGTCGGTGCTTGAGTGTGAATTATAATTTAAAATCTTTTTTATTTCAACGTGTCTTTCGTAATGTGTTTTTTAATTACAAGTGCAAATTATTGCAAATGTTACAGGTAAAAGGTATTTGAAGGTCACAAGAATTGGTTAACAGAGAAATAATCAATAAATCCAATAAATCAGTTTTTATTTTTGAAAAAGAATTTTCCAATAATAGCAGCGAACGAAACATTGTTTTCTACGTTACGATTGCAGTTTTGGACGCACATGATTCACAGGAGGTTGGACGGTTAACAAATATTTGAGTTTTGCGCTGTTAATTTTTTTTTACTTGATATATACAGAGTGTCACATAAAGAATGGGACATAAACAACTGAAGAATCTCTGGTTTAGTTCAGAAAAACAGGATGTTAATATATACGTTGAAAATTTAATAATTATTAATTTTACTAAAATCAAAGACGTATTAGGTGTCATAAGATACATCTGTAACAGCAGAAAAATCAGTTAAATTTAAATGAATTACCAGTGGCGTTGGGGTTGTTAAACGTCTTGATTTTAACAGGTTTAATGAGTAAAATATTTATTTAAAAATTGGGAATAGGTATTAAAAAATTCTTTTAAAAGTAGGAATGAATGAAAAGTATTTAATATTTATTTTTGACATACCTATACCTATTAAATCATTTATTTATCATATTATTAAGATTTTATTGGGTTTCGACGTTGAGAATATTAACTCGTACACTTATTAAATTTTATGAGAAGTTTTTTGAATTATATATTTTATTTCCTTGAATATAAATTATTCCTTTTAAAAATAGGGTCCCGATTTTTAACAGCTTTTTGATTTACTTGATTTTTAGACGTTCCAACCTGGCAACCTTAAGTATCGTATCTTACTAATTTTTTATATAATTTTCAAATAATAGGTATTCTTGTTGGAAACGCATAATATGATTGATTTTTGTTATATTCAAACTCAAAGATATTTTAACTAGTCATTTTTTTAAATTGTAAAACATCAAAAAAATTAAATTATAGTTAAAATTAATGTTTGAGCAGTTACGTAACATAAAATTACTTACCCATGCTGTACGCCACTGGTAAAATTTAATTAACATATTTTTTTACTGCTAGGTTATCTCATGATATGATATAAAACACGTTTGCACATTTTAGTAAAATTATACTAAGTAATCAACATTTTAAGCAGTTAATAATTTTTCAGTTTTCAACTTTTAACACCAAGTATTTTAAAAATAGGAACTTTTTATAAGGTAGCCATGGCACATTTAGGTATATTATTTTATCAAGACAAAATTGCAAATTTTTCGTTTATATTTTCTTGTACAAACGACGAAGAATTAAGACTTCTTCTTAAGAAGTCTTAAAAATCCATTATTGAAAATGCTAACATATTTGATTAGATAATTTACTTAACATAAACCTTCATGGCTCAGGTCGGTAAGTGCCCAACTTTGGATTTTGCGAACTGGGTTCAGTTGTCGATAAAAGTTCTTTTTTGGAAAAAGTTTAAAAAATAAAAAAATACGACTAATACTGTTTATTTTTTTACTTATTGAAGTTATATTATAAAGAATAAAAAGTATTTTAAATAAATAAACAGCATTAGTCGTACTTTTTCATTTTTCATAATTAAAAACTTAAAAAGAGATTGCTTTTATCTGGAATCCAATCTTGATCGCTTAACAACCTAAGTCTTGAAGGCACTTATGTCAAATTAATTATCTAATCAAATATGTGACATTAGCATTTTCGACAATGGATTTTTTAAAACACTGTCATCATGCATTCTACTGCTGGTTTGTCTGCAGCAAATTATTTCCATCTTCTACAATACAAAAAATATGAAAAAAAAAATTTAAATTTGCTTTTCGCAGATGTATACCAAAAAAAGTGTCACTGGCTCTTGTACCACTATCTAAGCCTTTTTCGTTTAATCATCTTATTTTGAATCAGAGAATTTAGTTCTATGGGACAACCCATATTTTATTTAAACATTAAGCACCAGTGTATGTGAGCTTAGAAAATATATTTTAACACGTTTATCGCCATGTGTGACAAGTGTGCCTCGCACTGAATGTAACTCAACAGGCCGCGCCGCACACATATGTCTCGCATGTAATGTTTTACTCCAAGTCACGCTGCACAGAATTGCTTCACGTTTGAGTATAAATGCTATAAGAAATAAAAGTACATGGCCTAATAAACAGATTAACATAGTTGGCCCTAGCCAGGCCTGAATATATACGATTTGATAAAGGGTTGAATGTCACAATATAACATACTATTTTTGTTTTATGTATTTTATTCTTTTTACTGTTCTAATGTAGTTTGTTAGGTAACTAAAAAATCAATGAATTTAGACAACAAAATATTATTTTATTTGAAAAATAAACAATAGATTTGAAAATATATAAAATAAAATACATTCCCTTAGATTTATAAACATAAAATTCGTATTCCAACAATAAAATAAAAATTAAAACGTAAGAAATCAGAATTTTGAAGTCTTTATAATGTGCATATATGAACAGAAAAAAAGCAAGGTATACAATAAACTTTGTTGCACTGTATACATTTCTAACGCAACATAGTGACCTCAGAGGTTGCGTATTTTCTACCGTGTAGTTTGGAAATGTACTTTTAGCAATTTGAGCATCTACGTCTACTAGTAGCGTTCACTTCCTCAATGTGATGTCTCTCTGCCAATGGAGGATTTTCCCTTTTGGTTATATTTATCAAATGTTGGCAATATTTTCTCTTAATTGGGTAATTGTATATTTTTACCAGTAACCTGTTTATATACCTAGTATAAACGCGTTTACGATAGTTGAACCTAGAAGAATTTATATTGCCAATTTGCGATACCACTTAATGCTACGTCTAAGACAAGAAGAGTAGGCTTTTAGTTGATCAGAGAAAACAATGAAACTTTTGTTTTGGTTATGGTCTCTAATAGCTGTTGGTTTTTCCATTTCAGTTCAATTTTTAGACTTTACAGTAACCATGTTATTTGTGTGTTTTGTTGTCAGCATCAAAACTTCGCGTTTATCACACCACTTCAGTATCACCACTCCAGAATCACTTTCCTTGGCAATAACTTCACCTTTCTTTAATTTTTTTTGTACTATGTCCTTTGGGATTCCCTTGCGATTTTTTCTCAAGGTGCCGACCAGATGAGTTTGTCTGTCCAGCAATTTTTGAGCAAGTTCAATACTGGTTTAATAGTTATCAAAAAATATGGTTCTACCGCTATTCAATAAATTTTTGCATAGCCCCAAAACAATCGATGTTGGTACGCTGTCGGAAGTATTATTTTTTCTGTTCAACAATATATTTTAAAATCATACGTGTAACCTTGTTCAGGACAAAGTTTGAAAACTTTTACCCCAAACTTGTGTCTTTTGTTTTTTATATACTGAAGAAAACTAAGACATCCTCGTCTACGCAAACATTACGTAAAGGGGTTACTGCGTTTTGAAAATTTTGACTGATATGATTTAGAAGGGGTTTGATTTTGTAAAGTCTGTTTAAAGTATCTGTACCTTCATTATCAGAAAAATGCCAGTGGCTCAAAAGGAGCTCAAATCTATTTCTGGACAATAATGATTTTATTTCGTTTAAATATAAGATATTCTTAGACCAATAGGATGTCACACTCGGCATCTAAACAAATCCCATCCAAATCTGTATACTCAAAAAGATTTTCAATTCGTCAATAGTAGTATCCTTCCAATGTCGAATCCGAGCTTGAAATAAATTGTTTTTTTCTGCTTTTGGCGAAGCGTGTTTGTTGGTTTCTTGTACCATAATATTCATGATATCGTCATCCACAACCAGCAAAAAAAAATCAATAGGCTGTTTATCATGCATACCTGAAATATTCTCATTTATATTCAACCCTTGCTCGAAAACAGTGAAATGTTTTACCTCATTCCAGTTCAA